ATCAGCCCATATTCATGCACATGGACTCAAATTGGACCTGGCCATCCTTAGCTAACAGCAGCCCAGATGGGCCTAGAGACTTCCAAAGCCGCCTACAACAACTCCTTCAGCACTATGGCAACGTGTTCAAAGAACCCCAAGGACTGCCACCACACCGAGAGCATGAGCACCGCATCCCCCTCATGCCGGGATCAGCCCCAACCAATGTAAGACCCTACCGGTACCCTTACTTTCAGAAATCTAAAATCGAGAAGCAAGTTCAAGATATGCTTAAGCAAGGGATAATACAGCCCAGTCACAACCCATTCTCGTCACCGGTAMTATTAGTCAAGAAAAAGGATGGGACGTGGCGGTTTTGTATTGATTACAGAGCCCTTAACAGCATCACCATTAAAGACCGATTCCCGATACCAGTCATTGATGAGCTGCTTGATGAACTCAGTCAAGCCACCATATTCTCAAAATTGGATTTAAGAGCTGGATATCATCAAATAAGGGTACATAGGGAGGATGTTCACAAAACGGCTTTCAGGACACATGATGGCCACTATGAGTTCCGGGTCATGCCATTTGGGTTGACCAATGCTCCAGCCACATTTCAAGCATTGATGAATGACATATTCCGGCCATATTTACGTAAGTTCATCCTTGTTTTCTTTGATGACATATTGGTCTACAGCCCCAATTGGGAGGAACATCTGAACCATCTACAGGTCACCCTTGCAACACTTGAGGCCCACCAGCTGTTCGCTAAAGAGTCCAAGTGCTCCTTTGGACAAAACCAAGTTCACTACTTGGGACATATTGTAGAAAAGGGGACTGTAGCGGCTGACCAAGATAAAATCTCCATATACTAGGCTGGCTGCAACCCAGATGTGTGAAAGAATTGAGGGCCTTCTTGGAACTGTCTGGGTACTACCGCCGCTTCATCAAAAACTACGGCCTAATAGCTACCCCATTGACCCAATTGTTGCAACAAGATGCTTTTAACTGGTCAAACCAGGCCCAACAAGCTTTTGAGCAATTGAAACAGGCAGTTGCGAGCTCTCCAACATTAGCACTATCCGATTTCACAAAATATTTCATCATTGAGTGTGATGCCTCCGGTCAAGGCGTTGGGGCTGTTCTCATGCAAGAGGGGTGACCACTAGCCTTTTTCAGCAAGGTGTTAACATCACAAAAGTGGGCCAAATCAGTTTATGAGCGAGAATTAATAAGCAGTCCAACGTTGGCGATCCTACTTGATCGGTAGACGGTTCACAATTCGGACTGACCATCAAAGTCTGAAGTTCTTACTGAATAAATCAGTTCTATCCCCGGAACAGAAACGCTGGATATCCAAGCTACTGGGGTACGACTACAGAATTGAATACAAAGCAGGGGCTGCTAACCGAGTGGCGGACGCCCTCTCACGGCACCCACAGTCATTTCTGTTACTAGTATCTTCCCCAACTTGTCCACTCTTGGATCTACTGCAAAAAGAAGCCCAATCCCATAAGGAGTTACAGCAGTTGAAGGCCCAAGTATTGGCAAATCCCTCACTGCACCCCGGGTACACAATTAAGAATGATCTGCTCTTCTTCAAAGGACGCCTGGAAATCCCGGCAGCCTCTGCTCATCTCAGGAAGCTCCTGG